AACTTTGTTAACAATATTGGAACGCATTTTGTTAGGAAAGATTTAAGTAATTTATCTATCTAATTAATATCATATTAACGTGTGGGCCCAATGATATTAATTTAGTATAGCATCCATTATCTCGGAATAATTTTTGTTTGATTTACAACATTAATTTGAATGGAAAAAAAATCTGTTGAGATATCTCAATTCAAAATATCAAATTTTTGGCATAAGAATCTTCAAATTTGTTACCAATAAAAATAGATTCCTATGGGATTAATATTTAAAATAAATTAAATTTTGGTATAAGAATCTCCAAATTTATAACCATAAGAATCTTCAATTTGTTACCATAAGAAACCCATAAAAATCTCCTATGGATTAGAGTTTATCAATATTTAGTATAGCATCCATTATTCTCGGAATAATCTTTTGTTTGATTTACAACATGAATTTGAAGGGGGAAAAATCCGAAATTGTTAGGATATCTCAATTCAAAAATCTCGATTTTTTGGCATAAGAATTTCCAATTTGTTACCATAAGAATCCCATAGAAATCTCCTATGGGATTGAAGTTTATCAATAGGTGGTATAACATCCATTATTTTTGGATTAATTTTTTGTTTGATTTACAACATTAATTTGAATGGGAAAAAAATCCGTAATTGTTGGAATATCTCAATTCAAAATCTCAATTTTTTGGCATAACAATCTTCAAATTTGTTACCAATAAAAGTAGATTCCTATGGATTAATATTTAAAATGAATTAAATTTTGGTATAGTAATCTCCAAATTTGTTACCATAAAAATCTCCAATTTTTTTGGGATATCTAAATTAAATTTGTTACCATAAAAATCTTCAAATTTGTTACCATAAAAATCTAGATTTTTTTGGTACATGTGTTTTTTTCGAATTTCCACTAATAGTAAGTCAAACCATTTATTTTTTTAGTCAAACTTACTATAAAAGTATTTTCCATCAACCTCTTTATATTACTATAGATATAGAGAAATAAAAAAAGGTAATCGCATGCAACCGTTACAAATCCAAAATATAATAAAAATAGGTGGGTGATTGTATGGAATAAATTAAAAGAAAAAAAATATTATAATGGTTTTTTGATGGAGGTCATAAAATTTTTTATTAAATGCAACATATTTTTATTAAATGAACTCGTATTATTATTAATTGAAGGCTGAATAAAATTAAATGAAATTTGCCAACAGTTATGCATATATAAATTTTTTAAAATTTACTTATGAATTTTTATTGTCATTTTGTAACACATAGAAATCTGCATACTATTCGTACTTTTCAAATTATAAAACACTTGACTAACTTAAATTATTAATATTTAAAAGCTAATAACTTTTGTATTTGTCATCAGATTTTCGTATATAATATATATCAAAGTAATTAACTTTTAACGATCTTCGATTTGATATTCATATTGAATACATGAAATAAATAAATAATTTTATAATACAGATTAAAAAAACTAATAAAATCATATCACTACAAGAAAATGATGAAATTCTAACGGAAATATATTTTAATAGAATTATTCCGACGGCAATTCCAATGGATATTTCAATGCTATTATTTCCGTTGGAATTTTTCAATGGATTCCAACGGAAATTCCAACAAAAATATTCTGTTGGAATGAGTTTTCCATTGGAATTTTCGTTGGATTTTGACGATTCCAACGGGGGTGGAAATAAAAATTTCAACAAAAATTGCATATTCCAACGGAAATTCCTACGGTAAAAAGCCATCGGAAATATAGCCGTTGGAATCATCAAATTCAATCTAAAATTCCAATGAAAAACACGTTCCAACGGAATATTCCCTTTGGAATTTCTGTTGGAATCATTCCAAGATGCTATACTATTGGAATATCCATTGGAATATATTACCATAGGATTTTTCCGTTGGAATATAACAATTTTTTTGTAGTGTATATCATAGATTCAAAAATTCATATATAAACTTATTACATATGAATTATAAAATTTATTATAACACAAGACAGACAGACGAATCATACAATTGAAAAACCTCATTTTAAAAATAAATAATAAAGAAATATTTCACTCCTTATTATCATTGAGTTGACAATGAAAATGGTGTTGTTAATGTTTCGTGTTTCAGCTAGAATTAGGTTTTGAAAGATTGTCTATTTGACTCAAAATCTTTTGTATCCCAGTCATGTACCTATTGTATGAAGTATAAAGGCATGAGTATTTGCATATACCAGCATTATTTTACCTGAACAACAGGTCACTGAACATAACTTGGATTTATGGCAAAACTCATTTACTCTGCAACATTACTATTATCAGTATCTTTATTCAACTGCAGCAGAGGTGCAGAGTAAATCTTGAAAGATCATGGAGAAGAGTGTTATGTTTTGGTTGACTTTAGAAGAAGGTTTATATAATGAATGGTATAAATGTACATGATTAACATTCTAGCCTCTGTTTGTGTATTTGATTTTCATTTCCCTTTTTTAGTATTTTCACAAGTTTGTTCTGTTAAGTTGCCTGACTCCCTTTCTCGTATTCCATAAAAATGAAGATCGTGGCATCTTTCCATATTAAGCCACATACGGATATCTGATATTGGTAACTTCAAGAGAAAATAGCTTTGTAGAAAGAAAATGATAGTGTGAAAAATGATACAGTCCTTAATAAGAAACTGATAAATGCAGATGCCAATTCGTGTAATTGACCAAATCGTTGGAGTTCCTTCAGAAAGATATCAAGGAGAATGAATATTTAGTAATTCTCTTTGACCTAATCAACTTTATTTCAGTTTCGGTTTTATTTATCCATGAATTTACAGGTAAGAATGTGTATCAGGTAGGTCCAAGGTTTGAAGAAGACTTTGGAAATCCACTTTGAGTGAAAATTTTTGTATACTAACATGCTTGATGCAGAGTTTGGCTCGTCCCATATCCTACCTGCTCTAGTGACTCTTGGTTTAGACCAAAACCTGAACGTGAAATATGTGCACAGGCATTGATGCTTTTTGTGTTGTGGTGCAACAATAAGGGCCGTCTCCACAAATTTGGAGGCACTAGACAAAATTTTCGATTTTGATCTGTATTTGTACATAGATATTTATAAAGTGTTTAGACAATCTTAGATATTATTAGAATTAAATACACAAAGCATCATCACATTAAAAAAAATTAATAAAATTTATTTTAAAAGTATATTTATTAATAATTTTTTAAATAGCAAGAACTCACAAACTAGAGAACAATAAAATATCGAGGATGTAGTCCAAAATAAAAAGAAGAACATTGAGAAAAAAATATGCCATGTGGCTTTGTTATTAATTAGTTGCAGTCGTTTGAGCAACTTCAATTTTAAATATAGTTAAAATTGATAATAAAATTAAAATTAAGAATGGTCAATTTGATTTATTTTGAGAAAATTTTAAGTTGTGTCAATTTGTGTTCTTTGTTTTTCATATGACGTAAATGACAAAATTAAACAATATCATATTTTGGTTTTATCAACTATTAGCCAAAATAAATGTCGTTTTGGATCTTTTGTACATATTTTTCCATTATTATCCTCATTTAGTTAATAAATACACTACGTCTTTTCATATTCTCTTCATCTTTTTTTTTTAAATATCCATCTCTATCTTCATTAATGAGGGTTATTATTGACAAAAAAAATATTATTAATTAGTGTGCAACTTCTCAAAACGATACTTATTATAAATATGAGGGAGTATTAATTTTTAAATACTAATATATAAAAAAACGTCCCCTGTAAATTGGGGGCCCTAGGCACTGGCCCAAGCGCCGGCCCTGGCAACAATTTAAGAATGACATGGTATAGATGGGTGCACAAATTTATGTTTGGGCTAAATTCCATTGCCTTAGATGCTATTAATTAATTGACCAAATTTCCTTCTAGTAGATTGTTGACAAAATATGGATTCAGATATAGATGATCAAAACTCAGTTCCAGGTCGTTTGGTAGAAGACTCTGAATCGTCCCGAACCACCAGTATGTTAAACCGCCAGTTCATGCCCGGTTTTGGGTCGGTTCCGAGTCTATTTATTTTTAAAATTGATCATTGGATTTTTAACAGTAAGATTGATCCGACAGCCCAAATTCAATCTGACCGTCGGGTTCCCGAACAGTCGATACAGCCCGAAAAAACAAATAAAAAAGAAAGGACGAAAACCCGGACCCGTCTTTCCGTCCGGAATCGACCCGGACACGCCCGGTTAAAAAAAAGACCCAGAACCGATCCGTTTATAGCACAAGTCCGGTTCAATATATGACACGTACATTTAGGCCGATTCTGGGTCGATATAGGGTCGACCCAACGGTTCAGACCGACAATGGCAATGTCTAGATTGAGATGGATCACATGAAGCTACTATTGCTATGATTCATGCATTGTTGGTAGTTGTGCCTCATAATAGATAATTTATAAAATTTTGAGTTGTATTAAAATAATAATTAAAACAAAATGATTAAAGTTGATTTCACGTAATAGTAAAAATGAGTGATTAAAAGTAATGAATAATTAAAATTATGTGAAATGAATGAATAATGAATTAAAGTTGATGCGATGTATAAAAATGATTAATTGATATTATTTAAATATATTGATGATATAGAATATAATTGAATTAAAATAAATTTGAGTTTAAATTTGAATTATGTTTTGGAATTTTCCAAACAAGATTTATATCCAAGCAAGGCCTTACCATTCTCCATAAATAAAAGTATAAAACATATTCTCTCTCTTCCAACCGCTTGAACCATTAATTTGAAACTAGATATTTCCAAAATTAACGTAGCATTCAGATATTCCTATTAACTTTCGGAATTCGGATTCCTTTACCCTGATACAGTCACCTCATTAAAAACCCAACACAACACTCGCAACAAAAATCCACACTCTTATTCCGCCAACATCAAATTCAATCCCCAATAAATCAAATTTTCGAACTTCTTCTTCAGTTCTTCTTCTTGTTCTTTCATGGCCAAGCCACGACCTGTGACGATGTCCGGTCAGAAGCCAAAACCCTACCAGAAGCTGAAGCCGGCGATCTCCAAGAACCGAGGAGCTCCACTTTCTCTTCCTTTCTCATCACGCAAGAAAGATCCCTCTTTGGAGGAAAAAATCGCTGAGATATTGAAAATTGAGGAGGAAAGAAACTCGGCCAACATCAAGAATTCGGGTTTCGGGTTGAAGTATCCGGATTTTGACTGCGGACCCGGAGTCGGGTCGTACCCGTTTCTTGAGGAGCCCGTCCAGTTTCAGTTCGGGGACGACTATGGAAAACAGCTTTTCCTTCGTGTGCAACGCGAGCTTCTGTACGCCAGCGTGGACAACGTGTCGGCGCTTGGAGGGTGCATGAAGAAAACAACTGATGACGTGTACTTTTTGCCGACCCAAAAAGCCATGGTGGAGTCCTTCTTGGACCATAATCTGTTTTGAATCTTTTTTTGTTTATGAATTCCTTTTTTTTATTGTTTTTTTTTTTTTTTTCTTTTCAGTCTTGTATTTTGTTTAGGGAGATCATTCTGACTAGCTAGTACAGTTTTTGTACATTGAAATGACCACAAAAAATATCATTTCCTTTACTTTTTCCCGTAATTCCTTTTATGTTGGTAATTCTTTTCATTGTGTTTGATTTTGAGAACAGATATATTAATTCGACAAAGTTCAAATTTTAATATTTCGTTATAACAGTAAGTAAAATTTGAGGTGCGATGAAAGTTTGTTAGATGAAAATTTACATTGCAAATAAAAACTTATGCTAGTGCTAAATAAATACATATAATAGTGGGGAAATAACATGTTGTAGAACAGCCATGGGTAATTTGAGAATTGACGAAGCAATGACTAAATGGACTAGGCATGCTTCTAGGCCGGCTAGGCTTTTACTAAAATATCCTAAGAGCATATTTAGGAATAACGTAACCAAAACCTCATTTCACAATTTTCATAATTTTCAATGTACATCTAAACATATTAATAATACTCCTACAACTATAAATTACAATAACAATAAAACTTCAAGAGTGGGTCTTAAATTTACTTTCTATTTTAATTGCAAAGAAAAAATTTGGCCCAACTTTACCTCACATGAGAAATTTGATCCTACCGTCATGGGCATTGCTCATGGGGATTTATCCGTTGATTACACACACTCATGTGGGTGTGTGTTTATGTGTATGTCAATGGTTAAAATCCATGAGGTCAGGACAGTGCTCCCCTGAGTAGGACCGAATTTTCCCCCACACATGACAACAGAGCATTACATACACACTATTTCTATATTGCACTTGAGTTTTTTTCACTGCCTAAATTTTCTTACTTTATTTTTGCTTTAATTTATATGTACATTTTTAGTAGGCTTGCATGCACAAACCAAGTTTATATTCTTAAACCTTAGACCTCCTAAGTATAACAGAAAAACCTGAGGTTTATATTTTCCAACCTCACTCAAAACTCATTACTAAAGATGTCGTAAGCAAATATTTTATCGCCATACTTCCTATTGCAAAATTGTTGTTCCACTTAACTTTCTGATATTGGATACCATATCGGGTTGACTTGACCATAGAAACAACATGACTGAACTGGATGAACCGGCAGGTTGAACAGAGACTGAAGGCGCATAGGTCGAAGAGTCCTCAAGTCGATGAGAACGTCGCGGATCCAATGAGCACATACAGGTCGAGCTATAACCCTCGGATGGACTGGTTGAAACTTGACCTGAAGTTTCAAGACCGGTCGATGGATCGATCAGATAAGCAAGCATATATGCTCAACACAAACAACACTCCACTTCGAAGCAATTTGGGTCGGTCGCACTGTCTAATAAGGTGGACTAATGGATAAGAATAAATATTATTAAGATAAGAAACACACATAGATAGAGATACGTGGCCTAACAGAATTGGGCAGTTCAGGCAGTCTAGGCAGCATATCCGAGTAGTCTTGGGCAACAATGTAACACGCCTCTATATAAAAGGGTGAGGTATGCCCATTGCAACACTACATTCTCTACACAGTCCATATACTTTCAAAGCTTGTATATATTGTTCTAGCTTGTATATACTTACAAGAGTTGCAGGCAACTGATTGTGCAAAAGACCTCGATCTAGCTTGCACGACCCGTATCCCTTTCTTCATCTGTTCGTAGACCTACAAAATAGGCCGGTAAGGGTTTCCAGCGTTAGCACTCCAAGGGTCAAGTCAGTACATTGATGATCATGAAGACATGGAACAACATATACAAGCTTTCTAAGTATATGGAGTGTATGTAGAGTGTGAATGGACATACATCACCCCTTTTATATAGGAGTGTGTTACATTGTTGCCCAAGACGGCCTAGATGGGCTGCCCGACTCCCCGAACTACCATGCCGATCTGCTCGACAGCCCAATTCTGTTAGGCCACGTGGTCCAAGCCACGTGTAGCTCTTATCCTAATTATATTCCTTCCTATTCATTAGTCTGCCTTATTAGACGGTTTAATCATCTGACCGACCCGATGCACGTCTTAGTAGAGTGTCTTTTGTGCTAAGCTCGTATGTTGTCCTCTAGGTCGATTCATCGACCGTCATAGCTTCAGGTCGAGTTTCAACTAGGTCCACCGCGGGACCTAGCTCGACATATAGGCCATTCTCATTGCCTGCAACGTCATCATCGACCTAATGACTCTCCGACTTTTTTGGCCTTCGACCTCCTATCAACGTGACGCTTTATCCTGTTTTGTTGGTCTGCTTCCCGAGTCAAGTCGATCCGATATGGCATCTCATATCAATTTATTAATAGAGAAATTATATATATATATATATGTGTGTGTGTGTGTGTGTGTGTGTATGTTTTAATCATGAACACACATGTGCAAGCAAATACATACTAATATACGAGAAATAAATAAATAGTTCGAATTGCATTTTTTTCAATTGATAAAAAGCATTGTACTAAAAATAAGCCTAGGCGGTAGGCGTTGTTCGGCCGTCTCCGATTTGCATAAATCGGCAAAAAAAATTGTCCAGGCGGCTAGGAGGCGCCTCGGCGGCCAAAGGGCATGGGCGGCGTCTAGGCAGGCTCGGCGGTAATTTTTTATTTTTTATTCTGTTTAAATACTCATTACATTATTTTGTTATCATGTATTCTTTCTAATATATTAATATTATTATTTGAATTTAAGTGTGATGATTTATCATAAGGGTAGATAATTTATTTTGTAGATAGTTAAATTAAATAAAAAATAAGGCATTTAATCTTGATTTCTAGGCCTCGCCTAGACGCTAGGCGCTGATCGGACGCCTAGTGACTTTTAGAACACTTATAAAAAGCAAAAGTGTGTTGTTTTAGTGGAAATGGATTCAAAAGAGATAGGACAACAAGATCAAAATCGACCAAATATTATTTGAATATTTCAAGAAATAATATATATGATTTAAAGGATTAAAATTTTGAGACAATATTTTGTGATTTAGCTACTTATAGTCGAGTAATTCATTTAATAAATGATTGGTGGCTATTGCACATATTTTTAAGTGTTGACGTTTGTGTTCAGTGTTGTTTTTTTCTTTATCTGATCTTTTCTGTTTAACTTTGTTGTTCCTAATAAACTAACAAGTTAGAGACGAAATATATATTGCTATGCATATATCGACCAATTTATATATTTTATATTATGTTTTTCATTTTCATTAGATTTTGTTTGTTGATAATGAAATTAACGAGGTAGAGGTGGTATATTTTTTATAATTTCCTCTTTTTTATAATTATATTTTTTTTTCAAGACAAACAAACAAATTTATATAACTCAAACCACAATCAAGTAGCAGATACAACGAATGATCAAATGATCACTGGACCCTGAGAAAACATAAGAAAACCCAGAGCCTACGAGGAAAAAACAATTTCTTCCCCTCAAAGACCACCATGGCCATAACATAAACTAACAACAAAAACTAGAAAATCTTAAAATGTTGAATATTACATAACACACACAAATCCAGAATATGATTAACAAGGGAGTTTAATTTACAATCTTCAGGAGCATTCTTGTTTAGAAGCTTGACCGCACCAATATTGTTCAGAAATCTATGACCCTGTTTCCAGTTAAATGCAGAGCTTCTTGAGCAAACTCCACTGAGTGGCCAAAAGTGCAGCTTCCACTTCAGATGTAGCACCTACAATGGTTCATGTCCACTCTACCTTATGATCAACCTTCAGCTTGAGTATGCATTCCACTTCAGTGATTTCTTCTTCAGATAATTGAGCACTGATAGCCAACCAAGGCTTACCTACTCTCTCCAAGAGATCATCTGAACCAAGAGTACCACTGCTATGAACCTGTCTCAGCTCCCATTCAATCCATTCAGCTCTTGCTCCCTCCACAATTTCAGTCTCATGAATCCAGTCACCCTTAAAAACCCATTTGTTTCTAGCTTTCCAAATACTCCACATAAGGAAAGTTGAGAGATGAATTCTGTCCTGCAAATCTGCTTTCATCCCCTTTATACAAGTGCTTCTCCACCATCTTTGGAAATCCTCAGAATTTTGTGCAGTGACATTCCAATCCAAGCCACACATTTTCCAACACATAACAGATTTTGGGCAATTAAAAAGAAGGTGACTTAAACTCTCAATTCCCTCTCCAAAAACAGGACAAATCAGGTCCAAATCCATACCTCTTTTACAAAGCCTCTCCTTAACCCCTAAATAATCAAACCAACATTTCCAGATAAACAGTTTAATCTTTGGTTTGATATTTAGGTGCCAAGTAGAGTCCCACATTTTTTTCCACCAATTCCCATCTTCACTTGTAGAGGCTAGATCCTTCACTGTGGTCTTATGAGCCATCAAAGTTTTGTACACACCTTTAACAGAAAAATCTCCCCTCTTACTCCCATCCCAGACCAACTTGTCCTTTTTCCTAACAGCAGTTAAAGGAATTTTTAAAATAAGCTCAGCATCCTCTGGATCAAAGGTTTGAAAAACCAACTCCCTATCCCACTCTCTTCCCCCTCCTGAATCAACTCACTCACCAAATGAATCCTATCTCTATCCCCACTAAAACAACATCTAGGTTTATATTTGGGTTTATTAGGGATCCAAGGATAATCCCACACTTTAATACTAGTCCCATCTCCCACTTCAAACCTAGCCCCAATACTAAAAGACTCCCTAGCCCCTAACCAGCTTTTCCAGAGCCAAGAATCCCCTTGTTTAGCCTTGACCTCCCACAAACTACAATTCCAAAAATACTTACCCTTAACCACCCTGCTAACTAGCAGATTAGGAGAAGACACCAATCTCCAAAGCTGCTTGACTAACAAAGCCTCATTAAAAACCCTTAAATCCTTAAAACCCAAACCTCCATAATCCTTAGACTTAGCTAGTTTCCCCCACTCAGCCCAATGCATCCTAGACCCCCCTATCTCATTCTTACCCCACCAAAAGTTT